ATATTCAGAATTATTTCCCAGTTGTTAACATTGTGTGTAACTCGTATCTCTGTGGTAGCAGAATGAAAGTTTTCGATTTGAATTATTAAAGGTCAGTTCTGAAAACTGAGTTGCCAGCATGGAAATAATTCTATTTCCTTTGAAATCATATGAAATCAGTTTTTATAACGTTTAAATATCAAACGTTCTGTATCTTCATACAAGTTAAGTTGCCCAAAACGTTTTTATGATACCTATTTTCCATTAATTTGTAGGTGTCACAATCTTGTGTATGCCAGTTTTTGCTATTGCGAGCACGTGACGGACGCTGGGGTAGAATTGTTGGGTACCCTCCCCTCCCTCATGTCACTGGATTTGTCTGGGTGTAACATTCAGGACCAAGGTGTTGCAGCGCTTGGTAACAACCCGCGCTTTCGTGACATCACGCTTGCTGAATGTCCAAATATCACTGACCTGGGTCTGCAGGTGCGTACAGAGAACCTCAGAGAATCGGTTAGTCAGTCAGTCAGCCAGCAAGTTAGTCACTCACTCATCTACTCAGACACTCAGTTTATCAGTGAGTCGCACGGTTGGTTTGTTGGTCAGTCAGTCAGTCTTTTATTCCTTCAGTCGGTCGGTCGGTCGGTCGGTCAGTTAGTGATTCAGTTAGCCATAAATCAGTGAGTCAGTCAGTCTTGCAGCCTTTCGCATGTTTAAACGCGTCAAATAACAGAATTTAAATGTCTCCTTTTTTTGCAGAAAATGTGTCAGCAGTGTCGACAATTGGAGAACTTCGATGTTTCCCATTGCAAGGTACAACGGGCATATCACGAACTTTTGAATAACTAGCTGGTAGCCACTCTCATTCAAAAAGTTATTGTGGACGCCGTGATTGACGTACGTTTCTCTTCTATCAGGGTTTAACTGATAACGCCATCAAGAACCTCGCCTTCTGCTGTCGATTACTTCGCACGCTGAACCTCGCCGGCTGTAACAAGGTAGAAGAGCAAAGGATTTTCATTAAAAGCCAGTTACTGTTGGTCTGCCGCAGTCTGTAAAACCTCTCACCGCCGCTGTTTCGCCTGCATGCGGGCTCTTGAGTTTAGGTTCCGCCTTACGGCCCTTTTCAGGGCAAAAGGGCCTATTACACCGCCGGCAGCCGCTTATGGAATAATTTATTGAAACCCCTTGAAGAGAATGCAAAACCGAAGATAACCTTACTGTTCCTTATGAGAAAATTGATTTCAGGCAGAATTCTTTGTTCAAGTAAATCGTTTGACTAATCTCTTTTTCATTTTTTTATAGTTAACAGATTCAAGCCTTCAATATTTATCAGGTGTTTGTCATTATATTGAGGCGCTAGATCTATCTGGCTGTGTTCATATAACGTAAGTGCAGACAAGAAAACCATTAGTGGTAACAACAATTTGGATACTCACAAATGGTTGTCAGTCATGTGATGTCTAAACGGATGTCTCAACAGTTTTTAGTTGAGCGGTTGAAGTTTCGGCTCCTTGTGAAATTTACCTTTGTTCTGATCAGCCATTGAGATAAGTTTTTTGGTGTGTTGACAAGTGTTGTACGATGCGTCGCGGACAGTTTCTTCTCCACGAAGCAAATTGGACGAATCTTGATTTTAATTACGAAATTCTTCAGTTTAGTATTACATTTGAATGGTAATCCTTGTAGTTTAAACTACGTACATCGGTTGCTTTAAATTTTATATCCTTGACGGTAGTTACAGATCGTCTTTCGATGTATCTGTATTTCGAGTATAGTGCCCCTTAACCCCCTAAGATTGACTGGTATCTAATTTCTCCTTATAGTCTCGTCCCTGAATCAAACATTAAAACAAAGAGAATAAAGATATGATCGCCAATTTAAGAAGCTCTTGATTGTTAAACAAATTCCTTGGTCAGCATAAGACGAAATGTAAAGAGATCAGTATGGAGAATTTGCCCACTGATGTTAGGATGTGCAGGTTTAACACCTATTTTAAAACTATTCTACTCTTCATGGAAGCGATGCAGGTCGTAACAAGACTTGTTTTGTTTTCAGAGACAAATCTTTACGGTACTTGAGGAAAGGATGCAAGAGATTGTCCTCTTTGACGATACTCTACTGTAGAAATGTTTCAAAGTAAGTTAAGTATCTTCCAATTTATCTATATTGCTTTTCAGGTCTTTTAAGATTGTCGAGGGAGATTGCGAACGGTCCTCCTTTGTGGCGAAGTCCGTCATGCGAGTTAAAAAAAAAAAACAAAAGAAATTGACGTTAGCGCGCTACGCAAATCTTTGGTAATGAAGTGTACGAGAAGTGGCTACTTTTCTGGCACCTTCCACCCAAAGTTCCGCGTGGTCAATTTTTTCCTCCTAACTTTTACGGCTAGTGTGGACTGTTTGTTGTCTAGATTGCAAGGTAGATAACAAACTGATAACACCGCTGTAACTTGCCTCGTCTCGTTATCGCTTTTCTGCGCTTCAACAGATATCCTCGCCTTTGTCTACACCTTGTCCTGCGCTTTATGTGTCGTTACGACATGCGCAGTTTGTAAGGGCACCATGCCTGCTTTAAAAGCCTTCCTTTTTATGCTTTTAGAAGTTCTTGAATCTCACTAGCAGGTGTAAGTGCACTAATCGCTGATCACGCATGATTGGTGGCGTAGATTACTTCGTTTCCGTTTCTGTTTCCTCGCGGTTTGTGAACTTCCAACAATGACGGAATTCAGTTTATTTACGAAGTCATTTTGGTAATCAATACATAGCGTTCAGCTTGAATACTTAAAAGGATAGATACTTCAGATTCTTGTTTAAACAGGTGACTGAGTTGAACGAGAAATCCAAAATCTGTACTCGGATAGCGAGGACAATATTTTATTTTGTCTGGTATGAAGAACGTATGAAGAATAGATTAAAAAATTTTCTGGGGTTGGATGAATTCACCCCCTCCCCCCTGCTACAAACTCGCGTCCTTAGTGCTCGTTTTCAATCCCCCGTTCCCCTCCTCCCCCGGTTGAAAATAGGCCCTGCCGTTCCTGTATCTGTTGAGTACTATTTGAATTTCTCGTTTATTCTACAGCTAGTGTGTGCAGTCCCTTGAATCACTGATTTAATTTCTTAACCCATGCATTATTTGTGCTCCAAAGTTGACGTATCCTAAATCTTTTGTAGGTCTTCTGTTCAGAAGCTTCAAACCAAATGTGAACACGTGCTCCATAGTTCTGACGATCCATCGCCAGCTCTAGGATATTAGCTGACCACTCACACAGATGGCTCAAGTCCGTTAGAGGTCCATGGGAATGTGTACTATTAGAGTCCATTCCATACTCTCATGTTGTTTCAACAGGAAGATAGAGTTGAAAATTTCATCGTTCTAATTGCCTCGTTGAAACGGTGCTTTAGATATTGTTGTACATAGGTTTACAAGAAATACAATTTCTTATGTTTCAAAATTCACACAACTTTGTTTAAGTAAAGAAAGTTGAAATTTATTTCAAGAATGTATAAAAGAATTCAATAAAATACCACACATTAACAAAGAAAAAAGTAAATTCAATATTAATCAAAGTAGACTCATTTTGTTTGCTTTTCAGACAGCTAATGAACTGGCCACAATTTTCAAAATTTCAATTTACCTCTACATTACACATCTTTCTCTTATCAATAGGCCTGCTTTTTAACGCCATTCTAACGTCTGTGTCAACAATAACAGACAGGGCTCACCTCTGCTCTATGGAACCTTTATTCATGGGACACTCTCATTGCTACAGAAAATGCCCCCATAAGAGAGGTATCCCTCCACTGAAGGTGACAGATACAAAGGTTCTCAGGGTTACAATGAAGACGTTTTACAGTGTATGGTTCTACTCAGACAACATTTCATTGTATAGTACTTTTTGATTGGTTCTTTTTCATCCAAATCATATACAATCTTCTGATACTTAGACAGCCCAGGTAGGGCTGTGTAGAGCCATCCTGCCTGGGAGAGGGGGAGGGGGGTGGGCTAGGACTCTGAATTGACACTTGGGCTTTCGTTGGGTTTGATGATGCCATTGTGACATCTGTTTCTTCTTTGCATTTGTGAAATCTCTTCTCATCTTCTGTTCAGCTATTATACAGCATTACGTCCCTAATCACTCGAAAAGAAATTGTGAAACGCACATTCATGTGTCGCTCCTGTATTTAATGGTCAATTGCCACAGATAATTACACACTCCATTGCCTCTACAAGCTGTTGAACTTTACACATTGGTTCACCATGAAATGTAATTACCATGACTATGTAAATGTTCATTTTTCATGTGCCCTAGTAAAGGGAAGTTTTTCTAAAACTAATAATGACAAGCCTTTCATTTATGGCATAATCTATGAAAACATGTGACTGTAGTGGCAGGTAAAAAAAGAGAGAGGGTCTGGACCCAGCACTGCTCCCCCCCTGAAACACACACACTTCTTGTCACACCTATGGGTTTCTATTATTACTTGACTAACACAAAAATTCTTGCAATAGCAGGATAGCATATTACGAACCAAATAGCTGTTTGCTTACTTGTTTGGGAAAATGAAGCACTTGTGAAGAGAAGTTATCATTGTGCCTTATTATTGGATCAAAGGTTAGACCTACCTATCAACATTTTGTGGATAAGCTTCTAAACTGCATGACTAACTCTGTGGTCAATGGTGTGTGTCATGCTAGTAATTTCAAAGATACAAAAAAGGTCATTGAAGATAGAATGAGATTTGATGTAAAAATTCATAATTTACATTGATTGATTGCTACCAGTTAAAGTCTTCACTTCTGAGCAAAACCACTGTGTAATAAATTCCAATGTCACCAACTCATCATTCAGTTTCAGTTCTTTGCATATAAGCTGCATATGCTGCTTCTTTATATTGAGCTGCTGCCTTAACAGGATCCTCAGCCTGGTAGATACCTCTTCCAACGATTATAACATCACTGCCTCGGTTTAGAATGACTTCTTCAGGGGTGAGGTACTGTTGGCCAAGGTTATCTCCTCCGGCACTAAGCTGTACCCCAGGGGTCATATGAACAAACTGAGGATCATTAACCAAACATGACAAGCTAATGAACCCCATGACAAAGTCTTTGTGAGCCTGTGCCATGTCTGCAGCTGCCTTTGTGTATTCCCCAGTAGCCAATGTTCCCTTGGAGCTCATTTCTCCAATCAGCAGACACGCCTTTCCAAGTGGCAAACCAACTTCTTTGAGGCCATTAATCACACCATCCCCAGGAACTACATGTGCATTAACCAGATCTGCCCATTCTGCAATATGATACAACCCTTTGGAGTACTGATTCTTGACGGTGTTGCCAATATCAGCAAACTTCCTATCTTCAAAGATCAAAACGTTGTGCTTTGCAGCAAGCATTTGAAGTGATTTGGAAAATTCTGGGGTGAAATCTTCCAGAATGTCAACGTGTGTTTTCACGATGCAAACATGGGGCCCAATCTTGTCAACAAGACTCAAAACTTTATCACAGCTGGTGAAATCAACAGAGACTGCCAAGTTTGATTTCTTGATATGCATTACCTCAAATAACTTTTTGGTGACTGAATTACTTGCAATCTGCGCTCTTGCTTCGAAGCTAAGTTTACTTCCTGGTTTGGCCGGTACTTTGGCAACTGCTGGTGGCGTAAACGTGTTTGTTGACAGAAATTCACTTACTTTTCCTGCCATTTCTTGACCAACCTTTCCCTTTGCCAAAAGCACATCAAGAACTTCAGAGAGCGTTAGAAGACTGTGAAGCTTAACACCCTGAAATTGAAGCATCTCCTTTCCGCCTTGAAAGCGATCTAACAAAACTACAGCGTCCGAAACGACTAATTCTACCGAAGCAAGGGCTTCTACAGTTTCAAGAACACTCGATCCACTTGTGACTACATCTTCGATTACCAAACAATTACTCTTCGGAGTAAAAACACCCTCGATCAGCCGCTTCGTTCCATATGATTTAGCTTCTTTTCTTCGCATCACCATCGGGACATTTTGGCTAACTGAGATAGCAGACGCAATCGGTAAAGCGGTGTAAGGAACGCCGCAAATTACAGAAAAATTTGCTCGCGATGAGGTAGCAACATCCCATAACATACCACTGATTTGCTTCAGAATTTCCGGATAAGAGACGATCACACGCAAGTCAACATACACTGGGGATTGTATTCCGCTTTTCAAGGTGAAATCACCAAATTTTATGGCCTGAATATCGTGTAACTTCTCGATCAGATTTTCCTTCTCGCACGCCATGATAAAATCGAGAACATTCACGTGGGACGGTAGTAGCGGTTGTACAATAAAGGGATCGCAGGCTCAATACCGCCATATTGAAAATGTGCTTTCCTTTGCTTCGGTCTGAGATCGTGTCATTCGGCAAATAGTTCGAAAATGCCTCTTCCTCCGGCTCTTCAAGCTCGTCTTGCAAAGAGAGGGATAATTCATAAAGGTAAAGTGATCTTAAAAGGATGTATTTGGGTTTTCGATTTTGTTAATGTCAAGAAAGAAGCGTGTCTACTTTGAGAGTAAGACTTTGTTGTTGTTGTTACAATGTAGATAAAGAAAAAGCAGATGAACCAAGTGGAGTAGATGGACCCGTTAAAGGCTGTCCAAACACATCAAACCCGTATCACTCATGTGTGGAATATTGTCGTAAGAGATATGGTGAAAATGCAATTGCTCCTCAAGTAAAGGTAAGAGTTAAACGGTTCGGCTCAGCTGGATTAGCTACGTGCTGAATTCAGGAAACATTTAAGAGTTTTCAGAGTAGCCATTGACTGTCTTGTTTGATTGGCCAGTGGAGGGTACATAATCCTCAAATTAAATGTTGTCAGTGATGACAACTAACATCATTATGCATATTCTCCATACTGTTCTTCAAACACTTCCTAAGGTTCTGAGAAGGAGAATTTGTTTAACCTTTTAACACTCATAAGTGACCAAGACAGAATTTCTCATTACAATACCAATATAATATAAACCAGACAAGTGATGAGAATAAAGAAAAATAACAATTTGGGGAGAATTAGTTGATCCAATACTAAATTCTCTGAACTAACATTATAAGAATTGTATGGTTGATAGTAAGGAGAATTATAAATTTGATCTGGAGTTAAAAGGTTAACAATCAAGAGCTTTTGTTGATGATCATTTCCTTTATTCTTGTGACCTTAATGCATGATTTAGGGGTGATATTGTGAGGAGAAATTAGATGTTGGTCACTCTTAAACTGTGCTTTGTAGATACAAATTATTGATTGATCATTATTTCATTGTTTTATCATTGTCAGGATTACAGTATTGTACCATTACCTGTTGGATGGTACCTGGTACCTGATCCCAATAGGTAAAGCAACTCAGCAGATATTTTTACTTTGAGAAAAAAATCATTCCTGTTAATGTTCTGGATAATATTTTAGTTGATTCAACTAATTCATTGCTCTTGTGTCTGAGCCTTCTAAAAAGGCAGAGCAGTGCTGTTCTGATCCCAGTAATACTGATAATAGTGGGAAAAAAATTAGCATTGTCTATGCAAGACATTCCTCGTGCTGTGTGTAGCTAAAAAGCTGCTTTGTCCATTTGAAGAAACAACAAGGTTACCTGCCCTACAATGACCTTTGATCTTATTAAAAAGGAATAGGAAATTGCTTTCTAAAGTCAATTTATGGAAGTATGTGCACAAGGTCTTAAAACTACAATTCCAAAATCAAATGCTTTGGTCTCTTAAATTAGACACAGCATTTACTGTACCTAATCACTTAGCTAAATTCTTTTAATTTGTAAACCAAATAAGGATGATGTAAGTTTTAAGATAAAGTAATAGTTAAAGATGTTTTTTCATCTAGTCACAAGCGTGGGATGAAGAAAAAAATTCTGAGTCCCCATGAGGAATCAAACCTCAGACCTTTGTGCTCGGCACTCTGATGCTCTGCCACTGAGCCACAGACTCTCTGGTGAGCGAGGCCCATTACAAAGTTGATTTATGACAGACATCCTGCATACTGCTAGGATCAGCAATATGTCAGTAGAGTCATGTTTTCTAAATAGAGTAAGAAAGATGACGAGTTTAAGGTAAATTGAATTCTTTTGATTTACTTTTATAGTGGATCCAGGTACTATTGGAACACTCTTACAAATCAAGTGTCATGGCTTC